AGAGATCCTGTTTCAAAAACCAACAAACAAATGAACAAACCAAAACTAAAAACAAAGATTATATACCAAATTCTAATCAAATCCTAAAATGCATCTAATACAGATAAACAACAATATGTCAATTTAAAAATAATAAAAATCTATGTCAAGTCCAACAAAATAGACACAAACATGCTTTTATCACACAACAGACAACCCACTATTATCTAATTTATCGCAGCAGAAAAAAATACAATGACTGCACTTGGCCTGAAGTTCTGGTTTTAAATACAGGGATCAAAAACTGCTTTAATTTCTCAGAATTTAGAAATACCTTTCTTTTGGATCACCTGGAAGTACTTACAAATGTTAACTTTTCCTTCTGACCCAGTAAATTTCTTTGTACAACCAGAGGTATCTGGTAATTTTTTTTAACCATGTATTACTTACACTATAGATGGCCACCATCAATACATTGATCTTTGATCCTACCTCTGCAACTTAATACTCAGTATGAGAAGTTTAAAAATAAATAGAAGTACAAACCACAAATTATTAAGGTTTGTATCTCTGTTCTTAATTTTTTCTTTTTTATCAGTATGTTTGTAAATATATAATAAACATACTCATTGTGGGGAACCGGAGCATATACATATCACATCTTGATCCCTTTTACTCCCCACTCCCTTTCTTTGGTTGTCCTTTTTGAGGCAGGGTCCTGCTTTGTAGTTCAGGCTAGCCTTGAATTGACAAGGTAACCTAAACTGACTTCTAACTCCTACTAATCCTCCTGTCTCACCGTCTGGAGTGTTGGGATTACAGGGATCTGCCAAGACACCCAGTTCCCTCCCCTCTGTTTAATTTCTAGTTCCTTTGACAGATTTACTCCAGCAGGGCACATTAGTGCACACCTGTACTCCCAGCACTTCAGAGACTGGGGTATGAAGATCACAGAGAGCTGGAGGTCATCCTGGGCTACATAATAAGTTCAAGGCAAGTCTGAACTACATAGGGAGACCTTGTCTCAAAAAAAGAGGTATTTACTAAAATTAGTAAGTTTTCTTTTTTTAGTGATGGGGTCTATATTCCCTAGGTTGGCCTTCAGTTCTTGATTCTCCTGCCTTAGCCTCCTAAATAGAAAGGAATACAAGTGTGAGCCACCAAACCTGGCTTATATAAAAGCACTTTTAAAAATAAAATCTAAGGCTGAACATGGTGGCTTATCCCTGTAATCCCAGCACTCAGGAAGCTGAGGCAGAAGGATCACTGTGAGCCTGAGGACAGCCTGAGCCACACAGTTAAGTGCAAGGCCAGCCTGATCATAGTAATACCCTGTTTTAAAAGAAAATTAAATTTAAAAACAAAACTAAGGCCAGGTATCATGGCACACCCTTGTAAGCCCAGCACTCTGGAGGCTGAGGGAAGAGGACTGCACAATTAGTTCAAGGACAGCCTAAACACACAGCAAGACCTGCCCCCACCAAAAAAAACTAAGATAATCAACTAAAAATAACAGACTTTGAATTATTTTTATTAATTTTTTTTATACCGGGGAATCGAACTTATGACCTGACACTTATCAGGCAAAGCACTTGAGCCACTGAGCTAAATCCCCAGTCTAATTTAATTTTTTAATTGAAATTTTATTATCAGGTAGTCCAAAATTGTTATTTTAAAGATGAAGAAATTGGAGCTCAGAAAAACATGTAGAACAATTAAAAGCTATATTTTCAAAGACTCTATGACATAGGAAATATTCACCACAGAATGCTGAATGGAAAAGAAAATAATCTATATAATATGATCCTAATTCTTTTTTTTGTCTTTTTCCTTTTTATCAGTACCGGGGATCGAACTCACGACTGCCTGCTTGCAAGGCAGGCGCTTATGCCGCTAAGCTAAATCCCCAGCCCCCTATGATCCTAATTCTTGATCTAATTCTAAATTTCATAAATTTTCAACAAGGCACATATCAAACCTACAGCTAACTAGAAACAGAGTCAAAACAAAAGCCTATGTCCCATGGCATTCAATCCAGAGTACTTTCCAGTATAACTTGTGGTATTTTTAAAATTCAAATTATTGTTATTTAACCACTATCTCCTCAAATCTACTCACACAATGACCTTAAATGGTTTGAACAGACTGCATTTCATAATATCATTCTTAGATTATCCCACAGAGATAACGTTTAAGAATTGATAGATCGTGATAATCTCCCATCCTCAAAATAACAAGCACATTTATTTTACCACGTTCATCTTTGGAATCCTACCAAAAAAGCACAACAACTGGCACATAGTAGGTTCTCAATAAATCTTCATCTGATAAACCATAGCTCCCCACTCCTAGCACTAGTTACCAGAAATATTAAATCAAAGAAGCTGGGTGTGGTGTCACAGGCCCATAATCCCAGCATTTGGTAGGCAGAGACAGGAGGATCACAAATTACAAGGACAGCCTGGCCTATACAGTCAGCCTCTGTCTCAAAAACAAAAACAAAACAGGCCAACAGAAGCAGTGAGATATTATTTTACATTGGAGTCTCCAACTATTTAATTCGGATAGAGTTTACTAAACAACAAAATTTTGTTTACAACAATATATAAGTAGAAGATTACATTTATGTTAAAATATTTCAAGAACTTCACAGATTAACTGGTACATAAATTACAGTAATTCTTGTCTGCAGGCCTCACTTACCTTTAGTGGTCATTACTTTGTTACCCTGGTTAGAATCATTAAATGCATTAGAAAGCAATGAGGTTACACGTATTACACAAAGGACACCAAACTAGAACCTGGACGGCAGTCCAAACTCTGCTAATAACTAGATATATAACTTTGGACAATTTTTTTGGTGGAGTATCGGGAATGAACCCAGAACCTCTGCATCACTGAGCTACATCCCCAGGGTTTTTTTTTTTTTTTGTTTTTTGTTTTTTTTGATACAGGTCTGGTGAAGTCCCTAAATAGCCCAGTCTGTGCTAGAACTTTCCATTCTGTTGCCTCAGCCTTCCAAAGTGCTGGGATTACAGGCACACACCACCATGCCCGACTACATTTTATTTTTTCACCTTTAACTCAATGTATTTGTAAAAACAAGAGAACTGAACTCCTAAGCAGTCGGGATCTTTCTAGCCTTTTTAAAATTTTGTTTCTGTTATAAGGATCAAACCTAGGGATCTTCGCAACCAAGTAACCATTAACCTACATCCCCAAACATTTAAAAAAAAATTCTTATCCACCAAGATTCTATAATTCCGATTTCTTGCATTGTGCCAAATTTGATAGTCTCAACAGTTTGAATACATTATTTGATAATCATGAAGCACAGCGTATTTTCTAAAAATATGTAGTCTAATATTTTTGCCATCTTCTAACCAAGAAGAGAAATCCAAAGGAGAAACATAAGCACACAATAATTGAACCTGCTTTTTCAGTCAAGCTGACAACCAACTAGATTTTACAGTGCAAACCAGTTACAAATATATGTACATGCCAATGGTATTTATGTTGATACACATGTGTGTGAACTTTAAAACTTTTTTTTTAATTATAAAATCGGTACTTATTTATGGTAAGAAATTCAAACATACAGTTCGTCACCTATTTAAGTGTAAAGTCAAGTCTATCATCCCTCTTCTCCATAAGTAAACACTGCTAACATTTTCCTATGTATCTTTCAAGAAATCATCTGAGGAAACACATGTATGCATGTGTCTGTGCACATAAATTTTCTCAATCTAAACTGTTTTCATTTCTTAAATGGTGGGGAGTAGGAGAAAAATCTCAAGCACTGGTTTCACATGCGTGTTAAATACATGGAAAATGGAACAGTTACTGACACAAACTAGTCTATTTTCACAAATGTTGAACTTAATATTTAATTTTCCTGCTTGGAGGCTATGTAAAGCAACAGCGCAGCAGTGGTGGCTCAATAGCCACACAACCTTGGTTTTAACCCTCTCAGGTCGCCTTAGGCAAGCCATGAAATCTTGAGCCTTAGTTTCTGCTTTGTAAAACAAAAGGGTTCAGCTAAGATCCTTTCAACTCTAAAATGTTATAATTCAAAGATGGCCGTCTCTAACGGTGTTCTCTTGAACTGGCTGTAACAAATGTTATTAAACAACAACCACCAAAAGAGCAGAAACACTATCGTAACCTCCAGTCCTAAAAAGAGCACATTTCTGTGGGTCAATAACTATCCAGGTATGGCTGTAACGGTACTAGTGACATAATATTTGAAAGCGAAGTAGTAGATTATTAAAACCCGATAGATTTTTACAGTGCTTTGACGTTTTGGGAGCTTGGGGAGGTGGAAGGTGGAGAGGGGCCACTGCTCAGTTGTAACAGTAACCAATCGTCATCCTCCAAAAAAATTTTAGGGTAATTACACGGTTACAACAATGAAACTGAAAGTCAAATGGACATTTTGTGTTAAGAGAAATATGCTGGGGAGGGCCGCTGACTAGAGTAGCAAAGGTTGGAAAGAATTACTAATTTCCTCTTCCGGAAGATCTTTAGCCCAGATTCTTTCGGTTTCACGTGCCCTCGCCAGATACATTCCACTCTGCTCCACAGACACCAAAAGCGTGCTGAGGCTAAGGGGTCCCTTTGCTCATTTAAAAAAAAAGTTTTTGACTCGATTTACCTTACGTGACACTGGGGGTTCATGGAGGCAGAGTTGAGGGCCAGAATCACCCGGCCACCCCCGCCTTCCTTTGGCTGTCGGGGTAACCCGGGTAAAAAGCATCTCCGTGGTCCTCTGCCCCCACCCCCGGAGGGCGCGGCCCTGTGCCCTCCCCAGCCGCGCGGCCTAGGGGAGGGGATAAGGAAGGGGAGCGGAGGGGAGGGGAGGGGAGCGAAGGGGGAGGAGCGGGGAGGGAAGGAGGGAAGGGGAGGGGAAAGGAAGGGACGCGGGGAGAAGGGAGGGGAGGGGGAGGGGGAGGGAGGAAAGGGGAAGAGGGGAGGGTAAAGTGGGGGGACAAGGCAGGGAAAGGCCGCAGAGCTGTACTCACCAAGCCTAGGGAGCCCGCCCCAGCCGCCAGGGGCGATCAGCTCGGTCCCGAGGGAGGGTCCCGGAGGAGGGACGACCCGAGCCCCAACTTGCAGATACCAACTCCGCCGTGCGCCGGGCCCCGGCCTCGAAGGAAACGGAAGTCCCTTCGTCGCCCTCCCTCGCCTCAACCAGCCGGCCGGTCTGCCGAAGGGACCCCGGTGTCGGGAAACCCGAAGTGCGCTCACTTCAGGACTCGGAGACGCCCAGCGCAGTCCCTCGGTCTCTGCGGCACAGGCCACGCCACCAGGCCCTGACCTTCTCCTTCCCACCTCCCCGCCGGGAGGTCAGCCTCCCGCCCAGCAAGGCCCCTCCTTCTTCCCCCCTCCGCCATTTTCCAACTTACCCTCAAGGCCTGGGCTCCCAGAGCTCAGCGCCGCGCCCGCTCAGAGCGCCGCCAAGGTCCCGCCACTTCTCAGAGCCGGAAGGGGTAGCCAGGCAAAAAGAAAAAACAAAAAAACCCTTAGTCCCCTTCACCCCACCCCCACCCTCCCCCCCAGCTGGAAACCAGAACCTGAAGGTGCGAGCGCACATGCGCAGTGGGCATTTCGCAGTCCCCGCCCCTTGCCCAAAGCTTTTCTTTTTTTGAGCCACCAGGATGTTTTTTCCCATGACTTATACCTGCTGGGGTCAGGCTGAGGAGTAGGACAGGAGTAAAAGGATGGTAGAGAAAAGGGAACAAACATGCTGAATTGTTTCTGTAGATCAGGCACTGTGCTAGGCATAACACATGATCTTTGTGTAGTTTCGAAAATCCTGTAAAGTAAGCACTGTTATTAAATTCATTTTATAGAAGAAACTGAGGCCTAGAGAGAGTAAGCATCCCCAATATCACTAGCTGTTAAATAAGGGAAGTGACATTTCAATTGGATCTGTTTCCAAGCAGGAAAGATTAAAAGCAATGACAAGAAATCTAAAGATTTGGTGGAGTTTGGAATTGACAGAAGGGAAAATTAAAGCAAGCAGGTACAAAGAAAACACAGGAAGTCTTGGTACATCAAATGCTCACTGCACCCCATACTTATTTCAAGATTGTCACACTGACAGGAATCTTATTTTAGGAACTTGGCTAAATATATTTCATTTCAAGGTAAGATCAACAGCTATCGTCTGCTGCCCTTCACAAAAAGAAAATTTGTAGGGAAAAGAGCAAAGAATTTTCCTCCTCCCTCCCCCCTCTTCCCTTTATCCTCCTTCTCCCTTGGGTCTTCCCTTTAACCCTCTTCACCTTCTCCTCTTTTTCTTTTTTTTTTTTTTTTGTCTTTTTCCTTTTTATCGGTACTAGGGATCGAACTCATGACTGCCTGCTTGCAAGGCAGGTGCTTATGCCGCTGAGCTAAATCCCCAGCCCCCTCTTTTTAGGTTTTAGAAACTGTGTGGCCCAGCTGTCCTTGAACTCACAGGAATCCTCCTGCCTCATCCTCCTTAGTACTAGGGTTACAGGCATGTGCCACCACACCTGGAAAAAATTTTTCTTTTTGGTCCTTGAGCTTTTGTTAAGATACTCCTTTTTCTCATCCTCTTCATTGTCACAACTCTGCGAATCTCACATCTGACTCATTGCAATAAAGTAATTGCAAGCAAATATTTATCTTAATTGTAAGCAATCTTATTTAATATATAACTCATTATCCTTCCCTCATTTTTAGAGATGGGGTCTTGCTGTGTTGCCTAGGCTGCCCTCAAGCTTCTAGGCTCAGGTGATATTCCTGCCTCAGTCCCAGGTTAGCTAGGATTACCTTTATCTCTATGTTACAGATGGGAAAACAGGTTTAGACAGGTGACTTGCCCAAAGTCTCACCACTAGTCTGTGTGCTGTGTCTATCTTAACAAAAGCTCAGGGACCCAGTCTGCTTACTTACTTTTTTCTTTTTATGAGAAAGGCTCTCACTGTGTAGTACCAGTTGGCTTTGAACTATGTAGCTCTGGCTGGAACTTGAAATGATCCTCCTGCCTCAGCCTCCTGAGTGCTCAGATTACAGGTGTACACCACCGTGCCTGGCACTTTCTTTTTAGTACTTGGAATTGAACTCAGGGCCTTAGGCTTGACAGGCAGGTGCTTGGGTCACTGAGCTACGTCCCCAGCTGGCACTTACTTTTTAATTAACTTAATTCTCCATCCCTAGAGTAGTCTCCCCAGTCTAACCTGCACAAATGCTGTACCAACGAAGCCACATCCCCAGATCCAGCCCTTGAATTTTTTAAAGCATTATTTTTCATTATGGCAAACTACACATAAAGTTGATCATTTTAACCTTTTTTTTTTTTTTTTTTTGGTGGTACCGGGGATCGAACTCATGACCTCGCACTTGCCAGGCAGGTGCTTGTGCTGCTGAGCTAAATCCCCAGCCCCCATTTTAACCATTTTAGGTATCCACTTCAGTGGCATTGAGTGCATTCACTTTGTTATGCAACCATCGCCAGCATCCATCTTCAGAATTTTTTCAGTAGTTGGCACTTAAACTTGGTCCTTTGTTACAGAGCAACTTTCTGCTAAGTGGCATGACTACTTGCATACGTGATTTTTCTCTCCCATATTGTAAGGTCATTTATGGAAAGATCTACATTAGTCATTTTTGTAATTCCTCCAAGACTCTGTTCTCTCTTGTATTCCACATCCCTCCATTGGTAAATACTATCACTGCTATCTTCAGAATGGGTCCAGAATATCACTAATTCTCATGGACTCCACCATTATTCTGTCAAGAATAATGGGACTGTAATTGTCTCCTCACTGGTCCCCACTTATGTACTTTCCCCTCTCCAGTCTATCCACACAGCAGCCATATTAATCCTTCTTCTCTGCTCATATCCCTTCTTTGGTTCTTTATTTTGCTCAACGTAAAAGCTACAGATTTGGGATTTTTGTTTGTGTGTAGCACTTGAGGATTGAACCCAGAGCCTTGTATATGCTAGCCAAGCCTTCCACCAATGAGCTTAAATTCTCCTCAGTTCAAAAGCTGCAAATTTATATCAACGTACAAAACTTATGATGCTGGCAACCACTGATGTTCATGTTTTGCTAGTCACTCCGTTGGATCTCTTCAGCATTAAATCAGTGCTAACCTGTGTAACTGATAGAGCACAGTGGAAGTTAGCCAAGAATGGTGATACATTGCCTAGTCCTAGCTGCTCAGGAGGCTGAGGTGGGAGGATCTCTTGAGTCCAGGAGTTTGAGAACAGTCAGGGGTAGGAGGGATATGGTGGAGAGGATGGTGTGTGACCCACAAAACTAGGGTCATAAAAGGCATTGTAATGTCTACTGTGCTCTTTTTTTTGTTTTTGCCTTGCTCTCCTTTGGATTGCTTGCTTAGAGGAAACCAGGCATCATGTCAAGAGGATACTCAAACGTGATGTGAAGAGCCCACACACAGAGAAACTGAGTCCTCCTCCTTCCTCATCTTCCTGCTCCCTCAACAGCCAGCATCAATGTTCCATCCACGTGCGTAAGCCCCCTCGAAAGGGATTTTTCAGCTCCAGGTTTCAGATAACTGCTACCTCTTGAGAACCAGAGCCAGAATTATCCAGCCAAGCCACTCAAATATGTGAGTATTATCATTTTGAATAGCTACATTTTAAGGCAATTTGTAGTAGCTAATCTTGTGCATTCTCGTTCCCTGTTGTCCTCATTTCCTACTGCTCTTCACACTGTTCCTTTAGCTTCCCGGCTTCAATGCCTTTGCAGTTGTTGTTCACTGTTCCCTGATATTTCTGCAGCTTGTCTTCACTTCCTTCAGGTCTTTGCTTGTCAGGTGCCATCAAAGCCTGCAGCAGCCATTGTATTTAAAATTACAGCTCCCGGGGTTGGAGATGTAGCTCGTGATTGTCCGCTTGCCTGGCATGCATGAGGCCCTGAGTTTAATCCTCGGCACCACAAATAAGTAAATAGATCAAAATACAATTTCATTGCCTCCCCCTACTAGCCCCTGTTTTCCTTTTATTGCTCTGTTTTTGCTCTCTACTATGGCATCTACAACTTTCTAAAGTACTATGTAGTTCTATTATTTATTATGTTTCTTTACTATATTTTTCCTCCTTCCACCCCTGCTAGGATATCAGCTCCAAGATTACAAGAATCTTTGTTTTGCTCACTGATGACTCCCAAGTGCTTAAAACAGTATTGGACAACATATATGTGCTCAGGAGATACTTACTGAATGAGTCAGTAAACATTTCATAACCATGCCAGACTCTGTATAAATACTTGGCAGGTGAATTGTTAATTGGGAGAGATGAATGTACCTGGGGTGTGGCCTCTAGATTGTATTTAATTTCTAATTTTTTCTTTTATTTTTATTTATTTTTATACAGGATCTTGCTATATAGCTCAGGTAGGCGTCAAACTAACTATGTAACTGAGGCCAAGCTCAAACTTAAAATCCTCCTGCCTCAGCCTCTGAAGTGCTGAGATTATGGTCATGCATTATCAAACCAGCATTATCTACATTATATATGCAGGGACACATATAGGAATGGCCTTAGAAAAACCTAATCTATGGATACTTTGTAATTGTTTTTAGCTAAAGAGAAAGAAAAGTTAGAGAAAGAAGACTGAAAGGTATTACACTGGAGCATTTGAACTAGCCAATGCCAATCAAATGTTACAAACTGCAATTGAATATGCTTCCATATAAGAGAAAGGAAAACAGATGGTGTAAAGATTCAGAGGAAATGAGAGATGAAATCAAGCATGATCAGAGGCTTTAGCTGTGACAGAAGAAAGAACATATCCTCAGAGGATTAAAGGGCATAAGATGTAGATAAGTAGAGCAGAATTTTGAGGGTGGTCGCTACTCTTCAGTAGCAGCTGGGTTCTATGGAATGTGAGATGTGTAGTTATCGGCTGAAAGGAAAAGCAGACATCTAGCCCTAGAACCCTTGTGCAAAGACAGTTACAAGTTAAAGCCCAAATAAATGTAGAAGATGAAATGCAGAGATGCTTTGAGTGAAGGGTGTGAGGCTAGTCCTGACTTCCAGGTTTTGCTCTCTAAGTCCTCAAAGGGTCTGATATGCCTTCTAGAAGGGAGAGGTTCAGACCTGCAGGGGATTACTCTTGACTTGTAAGTCAGAGAACAACCTTTGCAAAAATCGTTCCTGTCCAAAGGCTTCGATCAACAGCATCTGCCCCTCAGTCTCCTGATT